TCTGAGTTTGAAAGCCTAAATAGTTCAAATCATGATGAATCGATGAAGAAAAATTTGGCTATGGAGTTGTTGAGCTATCTAGTCAAGCCGAAGAATCACGGGCTAGGGAAAGGCGGTTGAATCACAGTTTGCGGGTCTTAAGGCTCAATTCGATGCATTTCTTGCTTCAGGAGGGATTCTCCCTTGTTTTGGTGATGTCACTTTCCCTTCTCGACCTCCTCAATCTCAACCTACTCAATATCCAATGTATGGTCAACAAAGAAATATGACACATGAGTCTAGTAGTAATGAAGAAAGTGATGATTATGTGGCAAACACACTACCACATTAGTGAAGTTTAGACTTGTGATAGTTAATTTATGGATCATTTTGTTAACTTTATAATTTTGTGATGGGAATTATTTGTTTTGTGAATACATGATAACGTTGCAATGTATTATATAACTTATGGATATCATGGTTTTTGTTTAATATATAATTATGTTGAAATGAGTTGCAATTGAGTTGATAAGATAATATTTAGTAAATGTATTGCTTCAATTGATTTTTGGAAGCTCTTTGAGCTTGATTTGGGTACTGAATTTAAATGAGAGGTGATGAGAAGCCGCAGAAATTACAATTAGCTGCCAGTTTTTTTCTAGAAAAAGAGACCTCATGAGGTCTCTTTTTTGCATTAATTTTTCAAGATATTTCATTATAGAGACCTCATGAGGTCTCTATTTAACATTTTTTCTATTTTATAAATGCAGAAAAGAGACCTCATGAGGTCTCTTTTTTGCATTAATTTTTCCAGATATTTCATTATAGAGACCTCATGAGGTCTCTTGTTTGCATTTATATTTTCCGTAAATTTCATTATAGAGACCTCACGAGGTCGCTAAAAAATAAATGCAGAAAAGAGACCCCGTGAGGTCTCTCCTTTAAAATAATATAAAATTAAATTAAATAATATCTTAGCGACCCAATGAGGTCTCTTTATTAATATATAAAATTAAATAATATAATAAAATGGTGACCTCATGAGGTCTCTATATAAAAAATATAAAATTAAATTAAATAATACAATAGTGACCTCATGAGGTCTCTTTTTTTAAAAAAAATCTGACAATTTGTTGGTGACCTCGTGAGGTCTCCGTTTGGCGACCTCATGAGGTGTCTTTAAAAAAGTGACCTGCATTTTACTGACCTACCGTTGAGGTCTCTTTTTCGGTCTCTTCTCGTGAGGTCTCTTTTCTAGGTCTCTTTTGGCGTTTTTTTAACAGTGGGAGTTTAATTTCCTACTATTATTTTTGGTTGTCTCAAATACTTGATTATTCTACAATGTAAAAGTGTTTATTTTTTAGCAAGGTGTAACTTGTGAACTCAAGTGCATAGTTTATTTGGTTTGTCACCTTGTTTCTAAGTGATTTTCAATATTTTTTTCTTTTATGTCAAATCTTAACGGTTAAACTGATAATCAAACCGATAATGATCAAAAACCGATAAGCCAACATCTTAATCATTCTTTAACGGTTTAGCATCTCTACAAACCGATAACCAATAAGCCAACCCGATAAACTTCAAAACCGAACCGAACTGTTCAATGCACAGCCCTACTTCCTCCGTTCAACTGTGGTTGATTATATTATTTTGAGATATCTAATAATACTTAATCACTTTATAAAATCAATAGATTATTTTACACTTAGTTTCTAATTTATCTTTATAATTAATTATAGTCATTTTTCTATTACATTTTTTCAAAATATTGTATTTCTTATATTTCAAAGTATGATATAGTAAAATTATCCTACTATTTATAGTTTTTTAAGGAGTATGTCAAGTCAATAATGAACACTTATTATTGGACAGAGGGAGTAATATGTAGTCATAATCAAGCAAACAATCTATATAGAGAGAGAGGGGAAGAGAGATATTAACTTATATATAACTAGTCTTTTAATTAATGCATTCATTAATATGATTAAAGTCAAAATTTTCTCTCAAAATATTTTTTATATTCTTTTCACCATATTTATTAAGGATATTTTTTATAAATAAGTATCATTTTTCTTAGAAACTATGCATGTTATTTTTAATAAATTAAATCAAATACTATATAAGAAATAATTTCAATATAACTAATACAAATATAATTGATATAAACTTTAATCAATCTTTATATTTATACATTATATTCAACATTAATCTTATACAGCCTATCAAATGACTCCAAAAGTGTGTTAAGTGTACTGAAAGAAAATATACACTCAAGTTCTGATATTTATAAATCTAAATCACCCAAAAACTTTTAGATGGATTGTAAATTGAGGATCCCAAATGTAGGTTCAGTGAATTATAATTACAAACTTATTAGTTTTGACCAAATTAGTCCAAAAGGAACTTTAAAGCAGATAAGTAGCGATTATGACTTTCACCATCATCGAATTGTGGACGTGCCGGAGTGGTTATCGGGCATGACTAGAAATCATGTGGGCTCTGCCCGCGCAGGTTCGAATCCTGCCGTCCACGATCATTTTATTTATTTTTATAAATTCTTAAAATGCCAAATTTCCTCTTGCTATAAAAATAAAGGAATTTCATCAACTACTTTTAAAAATAATATTTATTATTTGATATATCATAGTATTCATAAGAAAATAATTTTTTTTATTAGCTACTAGAAATAAATAGAATAATTAAAATTTAGTAAGAACTAAGAATTAAGTAGGTTGTCTAATGACAAATATTTTAACTCATTTAAGCCGTCCACGATCATTTATTTATTTTTATTAAATTCTTAAAATGCCAAATTTCCTCTTGCATTTCATCAACTACTTCTAAAAATAATATTTATTATTTGATATATCATAGTATTCATAAGATAATAATTTTTTTTATTAGCTACTAGAAATAAATAGAATAATTAAAATTTAGTAAGAACTAAGCATTAAGTAGGTTGTCTAATGACACATATTTTAACTCATTTAAGCCTAATCTGTTTCAGCTCAAGTAATTTTTAGTGTGGTCAACAACGTACTCATTTACTACGAATAAAAACCACAAATTTCAGTAACTTAAGAGCTAATTAGCTATTTTTTTCGTAACTTTTCAAAATTATAAATTGTGTCAAATATTCAGTTCCTAGATAGTACATGAGATTACAATAACGTATAATTTATTTTAGATACAATATTGTGTTCAAACGGATTTGTCTGATTAGAAAAAGTGAGATGTGATTACAATTGTAAAAGTAATAATCTTTTGTGTGTGAAATACTAAATCATGATATTCCTTAATATAGAGAAAGATTGGGAGAAATGATACTTATTATGTTAAGAAGAAATAAATTTTATAAGTAGATGTTATTATTATTGTGATTATTTTTGGAGTGAATTTTGTGACTAAGGTAAGATAAGGTATTGGATTTATGTGCTACTAAGCATATTTGTGATTGTAATATAATTTGTGTACTAGACCCAACTTGAAGAAGTATAATAATTTATTTCTATGGATGATTCAAGAATTATTCAAGTTCTTTTAAAGATTTTTTTCTTCTTCTTTAACTCACTTGGGAAAGTTATTGCTTGATCAACTTGGCTATTGAGGAATATTATTGCTATTAGTTTGGGTGTTTTATGTTTCTACTATTCATATCAATTTGATTCTGTGAAATTATTTGAAAAATTGGAGAATAATTATAACAATTTGAGTATGGTACAATTGCATTGATCCTAACAATATTTTTAATGAACAGTGATAATTGTAATTATTTTTTCAAAAATAATTATAATTTAGGCTCAATTTAAAATTTATAACTATAATTTATTTAATTACGAACATTATTATATGTTTTTAAAAAAGATAGAAGCGAGCAAAAGAAATTAGCACAAAAAAATTCTTGACTATGACCTCATCTGTTCTCACTTAATGAAAATCCGAATCTGAATAGTTCAGACACTAGACCGTTAAAATGTATGATCAGTCAGAATCAGGAGAGATCAAAGTTGGGAGCATTTAACCCAACTAGACAAGGCCATGTGTGCATGAGAGATCATACGTGGCAACTTATTAGAGGTTCTACTTGATCAAACTTTTGAGTCACTCTTTGGCCTTTTCTAAAAGCTCTTCACTTCAATTATGAGATTAATCCTATTTAGCAATTAAATTAAATTATTTGTATTAGATTTTTAAATTTATAAACTAAATCAAATTAATAAAATTTGAGTTTTTCAACTTCAGATTTTTTCGTATTTTTTGATAGAGTATTCATACAAACATATAATTTACTTGTACTTCAAATATTTCTTTAGTCCTATCAAAATGGAACTAACTATCTAAGTTGTTTCTTAAGAAAATAACACAAAATATGATATAAGTAATGACACTAAAATATCCAACAAAAAAATTAATATTAAAATCACGTGAAGCAAATATTGTAATTAATAAGTCCTAATGAAATTGATCATAATTTAAAAGTATGAAATTATACTAAAATAAATTTAATAAATATTAGTTACATGACTAAATATTAAAAGAAAGTAAAATTAGATTTGTATTTTAATTGTCTAAACCTATATAAAGATAAAAATAAATATTCAACATTATTGTTATTCTTAGTGTTGAATTGATTTTCTTTTTGCGTTAATATTAAATTTATTTTGATTTAAACTTTGTTATAATTATGAACATGTATGAACTATAATCTTTATTGGATCATTAAGAATTCTAACTTTCATACATGAAATAAATATATTAAAAGATAAAAACTATAAAAAATATTTAAAAATGATATCAAAGTAAATATTTTTATGTATAAAATAAAAGTTTATAAATTATAGATATATAATGTCGGGTTGGTTTTCTTTTAGTTAAAACCAAACCAATCCAAATATAGTGGGATTTTTTTTCCAACACCAAACCAAGTCAAACCAAACCACTAATCGAGTTTTTTTCCAATTTGATTCGATTTTTTATTTGATTTGATTTTGTAACGATATTTACTATCTTTAGAAAATAACATCTTTTAAAAATTGGAAGTGATAAAAACACTGGACTAAAAATGTGAAAGAATCAGGGTAGTGCAACATTATTACAGAGAATAATATATGATCACTTTGAAATACAACATAGCTATAGCTTACAACTTTTGTTTGAGGTTTTCCTCTTCTCTTTGTATAACTGAAGGAGAAGGTGGTATGATTATCACATTCTCAGGACTATGAAGTTCGTCTGCAGATCTGCTGGGGCTTGGTATTGTTTGAAGTGGAGTAGCTGAAGTATACGTATATCGCCCCTCCTCACGAGGCAATGGTGATATATTTTCATGTTTCCTACAAAATTTATCCTCGACGATGTCATAGGAGTTTGCAGTCCTTACTTCCTGAGCAAGAGAGCAACAACAACAGAAAAGCCATAGTGCACAATCAGCAACCTCAGGTTTACCACAACAAGTATTGTAGGAAGGCAAATGGTATCTTTTTCTCATCCGAATCCTCCAAAATCCACCGTAGAGTAACCCAAAGAGAGAAAGAACAACTCCGGTACCTCCTAATAGCTTCTTAACAGAATCACTGTCAATATTAACAGCAGCCAAATTGAAGATCCAGAAAGGACCCATACAGAAGAGCAGAAAAGTAGCAATATGAATATACATATTTCCAAACCTAAGTCTCTCCAGATTCCAACCAAAAACACAAAAACAGCAGAACAAAGACAGAGATGCCGTAGAAAAATCATCCCAAAAATCAAGAATGCCTCCACTCCATTGTGGTCTAGTTTCAACAACTCTCCCTTTATCTGATGCAAAAGAAAATCTCTTTTCCAATGGTACTATTTTTTGAGCTTGTGATTCCTCCTCTAACTCACTGTCATAATCTTTTCCGAGAGAGCTGTGCGTACAGTAAAGTCCAGCAATGGCAGCGGAAAGAACTGCAGCTAAGACACATATGCCTACCAAAGTAGCTGGTCTTTCGGATCTCTTGAAACCCCAATTAAGCCCACACGCAGCATATTGAGCAAAACAGTTGAGATTCAGTAATACGACAACCACCACCATGTTTCTCCATTCATTGGGCTTATAAGTACCATTTTTGCAGTAAGCGCTTCTGAGCGCCGAAATATCTTCTGGCCTCCATCGCAATAAAAGATTCAAGTGAGATAGCCTTTTTGGGTGCTGGTACAGACATAACAGACCAAACAATGCATTAAGACTTTGGTTAATCACTTCAGTCCATGTGTCTCTCTGAGATTTCTTAGGGAGGGCATGGTTCAAAGCCCCCGTTATCAGAAGAAGCATAATTACACTACAAACACCTACACATGCAATCCAGATAAAGATTACAATATTCAGCGGTTTTTTGAACCACTCTTTGCACATTTTCCTAATAGATGCCCAATCCAATTTCCGTGAAAATAGTTTAGTAATACGTTGACGGAGATGATGGGGTCTAGAAGAAGGTAGAGTTGGAGGTAACTCATCTCTTCGATCACCCATCTGATCAAACTTTGCCGATGGAGAACCCAAATTATCAGAGTTGAGGGGTTTTAGCCTTTCGGGTATAGCACTTTGACAATTTAGTTCCCTTTGGGATGTTGAAATATTCAGAGCCTTACCCATAGGTTCCTCAACAATACCACCATTGCCAGCAGATATCATTTGAATGTTTATTTGGATTCACAGTCAAAATATTAACAACTGTTCTGTTTCAATGGGAGCGCAAAATGACCCTCTAAATCTGTAAATTAAGAAAGCTATATCAATAATCAAATGCTTCAACATTTCTACTACAAAATTATAATTTAGGACCCAACTCAATTTAGGAAAATTATATAATTAAACAAACTTATACTATTTAATTACTCATCATCATAGCTATATTTTCCTATAATTACCACTCATGACTAACATTATACATTAATTATAATTAGTCACGTTTGTATATGTATAATTCATCAGAATATACAAATACATATGTATAACATATAATTATTTAACCGATATATATATATATATATATATAATTCACCTCTCTCCCACTCTCTTTCCTCTCGCTCGCCTCTTCCTCCTTCTCCTAATCTAGCTTGATAAATATACAAATGCATATGTATAATATACAATTATCTAACTGATATACATATAAAATTCACCTCTCTCGCTCGCCTCTTCCTCCCTCTCCTAATCTAGCTTGCTATATATACAAATGCATATGTATAGTATACAATTATCTAACTGATGTACATATAAAATTCACCTCTCTCGCTCGCCTCTCTCCTCCCTCTCTCAATCTCGCTTGACATATATAATATACAATTATCTTACCGATATATATATAAAATTCACCTCTCTCCCGTTCTTTGTCCTCTCTCGCTCGCCTCTCTCCTCCGTTTCCCAATCTCGCTCGCCTATCTCCTGCCTCTTCCAATCTCTCTTGTCATATATACAAATACATATGTATAATATACCATTATCTAACTGATATACATATACAATTCACCTATCTCCCACTCTTTTCTCTTCTTTCGCTCATCTCTCTTCTAGTCTCTCTCGCCTCTCTCCTTTCTATAACATGTATCTACAAAGTGTAATTATCAAATTATAACTATGGAGAGTAATTAGGCTATTTTTGAGTAACTATATGTGAAAGTTCCTCTTTCTATTTCAACTCATTCTACTATCCCGTTTTCAATCCAACCCGCTCATTTGACACTCCTAGTTTTGGTGTTTCAAGTCACCTTATTTAAATTTCAAACCAATTTTTTTTTTATTCTATTAATTATTGGTCTAAAAATTAGAAATTCGGGTAAAAGACGCTGTTGACCGAAGGGAAGATAATAGATACCCTCAAATCTGTGATTCTAGTATGATCGCTTTGACAATTATATTTGACTTAACTTAATTTTTGAACATCTTAGGACTATGAGCTAAAAAATATTGTTTAATCCGTCCTCTTTAATTATTTTGAACATATTTCTGAATAGTCTTACTTTATTAATGTGTACTCAATCTTGCCTCTAATTATTCATTTGTTTGTATTTCAAGTTAAAATTTTGCGTAATATTTACCTATTATTATATCGGCTGAATCATGCTCCTAACAATTCAATTAACTAAACTTAATTTGTTAAAATTATTTAAGATCACAAACATTCTGATAAAAGTCGAAGCATTACAAAATATTAAAGTTAATCGTTATGACTCACTAAAAACCTAAGTTAGCAATCAAATATTAAATAACCAAGCAAAAACTTAAAAACTTAACGATTTAAACACATATCAAATAAAGTAGATAAGAATATATAGCAACGTCTAGTTCCATGCCAACATGATATTAATAAAATCATATACAGATAAACATAAATAAATACTGAGTAATAATAAAAAGAGACTTTAAGTTTCACTTATAATTTTAATAACAAGGAAATAATAAGTAAGAAAGAAAACTTTCTATGAAATAAAATTTTACCCTTTATTTACTAAATTTTCTATCTTATTTTCCGTTCTTATTCTTCTTCTTTTTTTCATTCATTATTTTATTTCTTCATAGATATATAATCAATTATCTTGATTTTGTTTTATTTTATGAATGCATGTTTATGTTAACAAAAAGAAACTAAACAAAGAAAGAAATCGATAATATTTTAGAAACACAACTTATATAGCAAAGAAAGAAGTTCACATAATTAATCAAACTTTGCATACTAAATAATATGAGAAATCATAGAAATAACTTGTTCATAATTTGATTCACGATAAACAATTATAAAGAATAAATAGATAAAAATCTAATAAGAACCTGTCTAATCAAACTCAATTCGATGTTTTTCTTCTGTCTTTTTTGTTTGTTTGTTTGTTTTTGTTTTGTTTCTGTGTTGGGTTTGTTTCTTTTTAAGTATCTGTGTGTAAATATATAAGTCACCTTTAATTAAATAAAAAGTATAAGTAAAATAACAAATTCTTGAGATCTGTTTTTGTAATAAAAAAATAATATAATGACACCATGAGGTGTTTTTATAATATTTTCAAAATATATTGTGGCTACCTCATGATCTTGCAGATCGATAAGGATATGATTTTTGATACTAAATATTAGTCATGGAAGCAAGTAACTAATGACTAATTTAATGTGATAATTAATTACGCATTCTACTATTAAATTGCTTAAGGACAATAAAGTCTTTCTTTGTTTATACCTTGATTCTTACAATATTTTGTTGCACAGTTATTAAAAAAAAAAGGGGAAAATGTAACGTTGACCTAAATTATTGTCACTATATATCAAATTTTTCGAAAGGACTTTTTAATTTTATACTATTTAAGCGTATTTTAAAAGTGTATATATATTTATGTAAATATCATAAATATTGCATAATTATAAATAATAATGTATTTATGTGGTATATATATACCTTAAAAGTATATTATTAAATAATATAAGGAATAAAATATTTTCTATAAAATTTGATATCGCAACAATAATTTCGACCTAAGACAAATCATTACATATTAAAAATTATTTTTTTTCTAGTGACTTTGTGTATGTTTCTGGCGTATATGATCTTTCAGGAAATAAAAGAATAGAAAACTTAAGTTTAGTACTTTATTAATAAATAAATTCATTAACTCAAGTGAGTATTTATATAAGAAAAAATGTTTAAATATGTCATTGAATTTTGAAAAAATATTTATTAATGTCATTCATTAAAAGTTTGGTTCATCTATGTTATTTTTATTTGAGAACTTTATGTGTTAACTAAAATAGTTCAATTTTGCCGAAACTATTTTTTATACGTGGTCAATTATGATTTGATCATATCATTAACTAAATCATTTTTTTAATAGAAAAAAAGCTTAAATATGACATTGAACTATGAAAAAAGGGTCATATATGAATTTTTAAGAGTTTGGTTTATTTATGTCATTTCAGTTAAAAAGAATAACATGCAAGAATGAATCTTTTTTAGAGTTGGGAACCAAAATAAGCCACAAAAATATAAAAGTAACTAAAATAAGCCACTATTTTAGTAAGTAACTCAAATAAGCTTAGTGGAAGAAAAAGTTCCACTATATCCAATTTTCTAAACATTTTCCGTTACTATCATAACGTTTATTTCTAATATATAACGAAACTTTTTCTTCCACCTTATAAAGTGGAACTTTTTATTCTATTTTATAAAAAGTTACATTTTCATCTTCACCTTCACCCTCTCTCCCTTTCCTTTTCATGGCTTCCAAAAAAAAATTCACTTTGAAGATGGTCCCAATCCGACAGTTTGAAGCGGCCCACACTAAACAAATCGAAATTTTGGAGTAGCACAACCCAACAACATACAACTCATATTTGTTGCTTTAGGTGCAAAAAAAGGTAAGATTGCAGCCTTGTACTTGTAGGGAAATTTTATCTTTTTTAGAATGTGGTTTTGATTTGATTTACTTTCAATCTTAGACTTAATTTAGTTTTGGTTAGGAAGACATCTAAATTCATTGACAGAAAACTTTAGGTTTACACGTCCTATAAAAATTTCAATAGTAACACTACTTCAAAATCATATGAAAATAAAAAAAAAATTAAGAATCAGAATATCATAAAATATAAGACAAAATAAAAATATTTATGTCATAAAGTACACAAAAATTCATCTTTTTGTCTAGCTTTAAGTTGAAACATTTTCTGATTATTTTTTTCTTTTCGAAAAAATATCAACAAATCTTTCATAATTTTCCCACATGGTGGATGTTATAGTTTGACTATTTCTGCACCAATATGTGTCTTGACTATCAACATACAATTGACTACTATTCCACGATTGAAGTGTTTCAAAGCTTCCATGAACCTCGGCAACTCGGCAAAAGAATACTCCCAAGTACCATAGACTTTTTCAAAAGCCTGCTTGCGATCAAGATAGGCTTTTCTTTTACTTACTGAAATGTCATATGCTTTAAGAACAACTGTTTGACAGTCTTTGATGGAAAATCTGAAATTAATAATAATATTTATTATCAAATAAAAAATGAATATCTCCTTATTAAATAAAAATCATCTAGGGATAAAATAGTACCTTGGCTTTCTTTCTATATCAACACGGAGGACGTTAGCAATCATTTCAACATCCAAGTTGAAATGTCCTTCGCGGCACGTACTTATATCACATGTATGTTCTTTAATGTATCTTCCAACTTTCCACATGTTAGTATGTTTATCAATAAAAGAAGTCAACCTAAATCGACATCCTTGTTCAAAACGCCTGCAAACAAGTCGCCATAATTTCTTTGTTGATTTAATAACAAAACACTCCCTTGCTATCTTCAAATGTAGAAGTTTAACTGCTCTTTGCAACTGCTTCTTTAATTTTTATAATATGTCTTTTTCAATATAAATAGCATCATTCATGAAATCTTCTGGTTCATGCCACGTACGTTGTGATGTATATTCATCATGTGTATCACCAAAGATATCTGGATCATTCGAGAGATGATCAAGATAGGAATTTCATGATTACGAAACGGACTCATGGACATTGGTCTTGGCGATCGATTGGGAGTCAAAAAATCATCACCACTAGATGATGCCTCAAA